ACTGAATAGTCTTGGAATCATTTTTCAAAAGAGCACTAAGCAAGGCTGTAGTTGGAGATGCTGTTGGAGTGATGTGGGGAGGACCAAAATAGGACTGTGTCATCCACCGTGGGCTAATTCTACAATCTATTGTATGTCTACTTCATTCTGGTAAAAGTTAAGTAAGAGTACAGCCTTTAGATTAAAAAAAGTGGCAGCCCAATATAGATGAAACACTGTATTTGTGTCCACTTGTATATGTGAGTGAAAAATGTATAAATATGTGAGTGACAATGTATGAATGTGTGGATTGAAATATGATAATATGAGAGCAAAATGTATGAATGTGTGAGTGTAAATATATACGTGTATGAGAGTGAAAATATATGAATGTAAAAGGAGAATGTATGTGTGTGAGAGGACCAGTATGAATTACGGCCTGTACGGCCCCTCATAGTGTGAATTACGGCCTTATCCAGCTGATCCAGATGAATGAAGCCCTTGTTTGGTTTTCAGTGAGTACATTTGGATGTTTGTAGAATGCAGATGTATCTACCATAAAATAAACACAGTTTACAAAAACAAAGCAGTTCAATGGCTTGTACATGGCTTAAAGAGAGATTGTGTTGGGCCTTCATGAACGTAGTTTTTTTTTGCACTATAGCATTCCCAGTGAGTGGTACTACCAGCGATAACCCAAAACTCATATCAGAGGGTTCAGGATCAAACTGGAACCAAGCCAGCCGAGGTAATCTGTCACACCATGGAAGCTCCTGGGACAGCAGGTGTTGGACCACTGATATACACAACAACATTCCTAGATGCTTGCACGATCACAAACAGACACCTTTTCTCAGTATATATAAATCACACACATGGCACAAATTCCTATACGAAGACTTCTGATATCTGGACCTTAAAGAGCCTGTGACACGGGTTTCACCCATCATCCAAACCCATCAATTTTTAGTAAATATTGTCCCCTTGAAACCGTTACTGAACTGATTTGGGATATTTGTACTTTGATAACCATTAATCTGCCCTTCAATGTTGACCATATTCTGGATCTTCTCGGGGATTCTTCAAATCCCGCCAAATTATGTGTGATATAATTGCGGGCACAGCGCTCCAGCTGCACCGTTCCGGATCCCAGCATCTGCATGCAAACGCACGATGGCACACACAGCAGCAAACTCAGACAGCGATGACAGTTTAATTTTGAACGTGTCTGAGAACTCACATGAGGCTGAAGGATCGGTTTATGTTGTATCTGTTAGAAGTTTAGGAATTAGGTGCGTCAATATGGGCGATCATACGGTCATGTAGCCAGTGGTAGACTGGGACTAAAAATCATCCCGGGACTCTCGACCGGCCCACTTCGGTACCGCTAGTAAATTGTCAACGGGGGGAGTGGGGGATGTGCTTGTGACTTATCCGACCGGCCCACTTCGGTACCGGCCCATCGGGATTCGTCCCGATGGCCAGTCCGCGTAAACTGTCAACGGGGGGAGCCTCGCTGCGGGGAAACGGTGGACCTAGTGTCCCGATCGGAGTGGGAATAATAATAATAATAATAATAATAATCCGTGCATTTTATCCATTAATTTCCCCAACATTGTGGTGAAAAAAACACACGTTTAATCCATGTTGGTGTACTACAACTACAAAACGTATCGTTTGTTTTTTCATAAGGAAATGCAGACCGGCTCAAACAAACGATTTTTTAATCATCATCCTCACGATCATTTAATGTATCATATGTTCGCCGAATTGACATGAAAGCACTAATAAATGTAGTTTCATCCACTTGAGTTTACAACTACAAAAATAATTTTTTTTAATGATTTTTTTTTATATCACATCCGACGGGAGGAAATTCAGCAGCTCTCACTACCGATTTTTAATCCTAATTTAATCATCATCTTCACCACGATTATTTATGTTTATGTTCGCCGAATTGACATGAAAGCACTGACAAATATGAATATACTGTAGTCAACTTCATTAAAACGTTATTAACGTGCCTAAACTCAGTAATTCACCATTTCTACGCATGACAACACACTTTGTCCGTGTTTGGCTCTCTCGCCGCACAGTGAAGCGTTCCCGCATTGACGTCACTTCCGGCTTCCCCCAAAACCTCAAAATGAGTCGAAGGAATTTCCCCGCGATGTTCGAAATTATTGATATTTAACGGAACGGTATTGCACCTTCTTTTTTAAGCTGACGGTTCGAGATTACTATAGCCCAATATTTCATTGCACAACAGTTGTTGGGAGGCTGTCACAGGCTGGACACAACAGCACTATGTGTCACAGTATGAAAAAAGCACTGCTCCGTGTAAATTACATAAACACACTGAAGATTATAGTTTTTGCATTTCAAAAGCAATATGTTGACCAAACATTTCCAGCACAAATGAATAGGATCAAAACTTTAGTCGTTTTATTTGTTTTGGAGAATTATATGAACCCAAAAGAGTTTCATTCAAGCATTTGCTTTTCCCGATAACACTGTTAAGATTTGTGTTATCGAAAAACAAGCCCTAGCAATTATCTTGTATGTACTATAACCACAGTTACAGCTGAGTGCATCTTAGCCGTGGGGAAATGATCTCTTTGGAATCCTTGCAGTATCCAAAAGGCCAATACAAAATAAGACAAATGTCCAACAAAAGTCAATTGAATATTATAGAACAAAAATGTATTTCAAAACTAGAACAAATGTTAATGCATCTTGGTAACTGACAGACCAAGCACAAGATATTTTAGATTACAAATATGTTTATAGGCATGCATCTTTTTGTGCGTGCGAGCGTACACACACACTCACTAATATCGCTTAAGACAGAATCAGGGGAACTCTCCGGCATAACACTTACAGCCCAAAACACTCTAATCCCCTCACATGAGATCTCATCTGATTCTCCAGAGTTAGCAGCAGGCAATAACGGAAAAATGAAGGAGGGGTGATGAGGAGCAGGAGGGAGTGAAGAGGCAAAATGAAAGCTTCCCTCTTCATTCAAAACTTGCTTTTGTAAACGGTTGATGTATGAAAGCATAGTAGTACAATCCATACGTATAGTTGTATGGAATATATGGGCTTGTGGAAAGATAGACACCCATTAACATATAATTAGGGTCGGGACTTTAACGCATTAATTAAGATTAATTAATTACACAAAAATTAACGCGTTAAAAAAATTAACGCATTTTAATCGCACTTATTTTTGCACCGCGGAACGTTTCTCACTGGATGAGTTTCAGGCGTACCGATTATACTGGAGCACCAACTAACGTTCATGACTTCAGACAACAACAAACCACAGTGAACAACAGTGGGAAATGTTGTTTTAAAAAACGGACGGATGGAAGCGTCGATAAGAGCACGGTTGTGTGCAAATTATGCAAAAAGGAATTCGCATATCACCGCAGCACATCAAGCCTCAAGTATCACCTCAATGCAAAAACATATAGCAGCTAGCGTGGAAGCTAGTGTGGACGTTAGCCTCTTTTATCGCGTTCACACCAAAAAGAGCCGGTACTAAAATGAGTTCATGAGAACCTTTTTACCCCCACGAAAGTCCCTGCTAGAGAGCAGAGAGCTGCTAGAGAGCAGGGACTTTCGTGCGGCTCTCTTGTGAGAAAATAGCTATATTTCTGATTGGCTGGGCGGATTGCAAACCACGCCCCGTAAAACTCCCAAAAAGTTTTGTGAAGCCGCCATTTTATTATCCTCGCATTAGCATTATTAGCATTAGCCCAGCGCAGAAACGCAGAGAGACTAACTTATGGCAACACAAAATAAAACATGGGAGCGGTGGAGATGAGGAGGTGTCGGCGTTCTGGCGATTTACTCGGAAGGCTGCTGGGACTCCCAGCCGCTTCTACTGAAGCCAGTCCCCGGGGACTTCCGGCCGGGGACTTTGGGCGGCAGTATACGCCGTGAAGTGGTTTGCGGCCTGCCAGTAAATCCAAAGCAGAAGAAGAATAAGTGACGTCAGCGGCTTCATTTGCCTAATCCTCCCCCAGGTTCAAAGAGTTCTCATGAACCTTTGTGGGAAAAGTACTGCGGTGTGAATGCGCCTAATGGTATACTAAAATCCATGTGAAAAAAATTGCTTCTCACTGTTCTTAGGTCAAATATTTATATGTGATTAAAAATGCGATTAATTTCGATTAATTAATTACAAAGCCTCTAATTAATTAGATTCATTTTTTTAATCGAGTCCCGGCCCTACATATAATACATCATACCTATATGATTTGAGGTTGTTGCACACATTGTTAAAATGCATGAGGTGAATGTAAATGAAGCTTGTATATTATATCAGCCACTTCATCTATCCACATTGCTTATCTATCTGACTCGCTGAAGCATCACAACGTACACAAAATAAATGGCTGTCTTCCTGGTCAGGTTACTATTTCAAACTGTTTGTTGTACCATGCTGACACAAGATTAAATGAACACTTGGGAACACACAGAAGACTGAATTACACAAGGATAAAACATACGTAATGTTTGCAATTGGGGGAAGATAAATAATATGAAAAAGCTACATTTGACGACGGTGGAAAATCAGCTTCCTGCACGACAGCGCATTCCACCGTAGTTGTTAAGTAGTAAATAGAGGAAGAAATACTGGAACCCTTAAAAACAAGTGATAAATTCTGAAATAACCGAATACCCTTTATGTGATTTTTGTTTAACGCTAAAAGAAAAAAGCATTCATCATTTATTTTGGGTAAAAACCCTGACTATGTCTTAAAGTTTTCTTTCTCACATATACAACACTGTTTGTCTACCCATATTTGTCAAACCATCAAGGCTTGATTGTATCAGAGGCTTGTATTCTGACAAACCTAAACCTTTTAGTTGGACCATATAACAGACAAGCTCCACACACTAAAAACCATGGCCAGTTTCGATTACAAATGCACTTTTCTCAGTAGGCTACAGCAAGAATAGCATTGATGAGTAAAATGCAAAATACAATTAAAAAAGGTTGAAAAACTCACCAGAACAAGAGCCATCAAACTCCTCGTAGGCAACACTGCAGACACATCTTCCCAGGGGCACCAGCCAGTCTCCATCAGCTCCACAGAACAGTTTGGGTGTGTCTCTTTCTTCAGCATGTTCAATACAAGCCCCCCTCACCTCAACCAAAGAGGAAGAGTCCACACGAGGCACTGTGTCCGGGAATGAGGCCAGGTTTCTTAGCGTGAACGGACATTTCTTATAATAAATCCTCACTGAAACCAAGGCAATGCAGGCACCAATGTCCTGAAATGCCAGGTAGAAGCCCTTCTTGGTCATGGGTCCCACCTCACGCACCTCAGTGTTCAGCTTGAGAATGCGATCTCCGAGGTCCATTTGAGTGAAGCTCTCATCAGCAGCAATGGTGTCGATCTTTGTGTACTGTTGGGGCTTGAATTTGACAACGTGAGCCTCGTCAGTCTCATGGTAGAAGAGGTTGAAAGTCTCCTTGCAGGTGCCAGACACCCAAGGGATGGAGTTGCAGTCCCTCAGGGTGAAGCGAAGCTCCACGTAGATCTTTTGGGCGGCCTGTCGAGAAATCCAGTTGGAGCGCAGCCAGTTGTTCTGGTTGGGCTCCATCACATTGCACACCTGGAAAGTATGGATCGGCCGATTCTGCTCGTCCATCTCTGTGATGGCATCCCACTTAAGAGAGGACAGAAGAGGGGAAGAAGGAAAAACAAAGAATAGCAATTAGTTAATCAAACAATAGTAATTAAGTGATAAGCCTAAAGTCTCTTCTGACCCTAGCAGGTAACTGTTCAATATGAATTTGATGGACAATAAACAGCACCCTGTTGTTAAGAATAAGAAGAGTAGTTTTTTTACATTTTAATTGTGTTCTGATCAGCAGTGGGGTCATTAAAACCCCAACGTGTTTTTTTTTTAGAGCATTAAAGTGATCAAATGTTAGTGCATCAGTCCCAATAGGAATACACATTCACCTTTGACTGTTTCTAAATAACTACCCCTCCACAGCGTAAAAGTACTAATCCAGTGTATATCTAGCTAGGAGGTGGTTGTCACGGTACTAACTTGTGAGCATGTGGGTATAGCATGCTAACCCACTAACATAACTAATTCATAGTTATTTCAATTGGCATATTGTCATTCGCATTCTTAATGTAAAATAAGCACTCACTCTATGTAGAAGTAAATTCAATTTTAGTTAATCCATTGGTAATCTGTGACTTGACAACATGTCTTGCATTACTGTAGCATCTAGATTATTCTTTTTTAAGAGCGGTTTAATGACTGCAGTTTTCAGGGCCTGTGGAAAAATACCTGAGTGAAGAGATTTGTTTACTATATGAAGTAGATCTGAGGCCATGCAAGGCAAAACATCTTTGAAAAATCCTGTTGGAATAATATCAAGGCAGCAGGAGGAGGATTTCAGAAGTTGTATAATGTCCTCTAGGTTTTTATCATTAATCTGATGGAATTGTGTCATGGTGTTTGAATGTTAAGTGGACACAGAGACAACACATCTGCTGTTCCTGATGCAGAGGCACTGACTGCTTGTCTGATTTTCTGAATTTTGTCAGTGAAAAAGGAGGCAAAATCATTGCACGCCCTGGTGGATAGAAATTCAGAGGCTACTGACACTGGGGGGTTAGTTAGTCTGTCTACGGTAGCAAACAAGGCACGTGCGTTGTTTTTGTTTTTGGTAATGATGTCAGAGAAGAACGATTGTCGTGCGTTTTTCAATTCCAAATTATAAAGGCCAAGTCTCTCTTTATAGATTTCAAAGTGAACCTGGAGATTTGTTTTTCGCCACCTACGTTCAGCTTTTCGACACTGTCTTTTTTCTGCTCTCACGGGCATGGCCTTTCTCCATGGAGATATTTTCTTCCCAGTCACTTCCTTTACCTTAGTTGGAGCAATGGCATCTATAACATTTTTAATTTTTGAATTAAAATGATCTACTAGCTCATTTACTGAGATGTTAGCAGGGGCAAGTGTGGAAGAAAAATTCTGAGTAAACATTTCCCTAGTATTTTCAGTTAAATATCGATTTGTGGTTACCTCTTTTTGAAAAAAAATTGTGAACAGAAATAGAGCTCTCAAAGAAAACACAGGAATGGTCAGAGACTGCAACATCAGTCACCACAACCTTAGAGATATTCAGACCCTTTGAGATAATTAAGTCCAGAGTGTGCCCCTTATTGTGCGTGTGCAACAAACAAGATTTCTGGCTCTCACAGACCTGTAACTTCTTCTTTAAGAGCCTCCTCTGTCCTCCACTCGTTAACTGTATTAATGACACCTGTTTGAACTCGTTATCAGTATAAAAGACACCTGTCCACAACCTCAAACAGTCACACTCCAAACTCCACTATGGCCAAGACCAAAGAGCTGTCAAAGGACACCAGAAACAAAATTGTAGACTTGCACCAGGCTGGGAAGACTGAATCTGCAATAGGTAAGCAGCTTGGTGTGAAGAAATCAACTGTGGGAGCAATTATTAGAAAATGGAAGACATATAAGACCACTGATAATCTCCCTCGATCTGGGGCTCCACGCAAGATCTCACCCCGTGGGGTCAAAATGATCACAAGAACGGTGAGCAAAAATCCCAGAACCACACGGGGGGACCTAGTCAATGACCTGCAGAGAGCTGGGACCAAAGTAACAAAGGCTACCATCAGTAACACACTACGCCGCCAGGGACTCAAATCCTGCAGTGCCAGACGTGTCCCCCTGCTTAAGCCAGTACATGTCCAGGCCCGTCTGAAGTTTGCTCGAGAGCATTTAGATGATCCAGAAGAGGATTGGGAGAATGTCATATGGTCAGATGAAACCAAAATAGAACTTTTTGGTAAAAACTCAACGAGACGTGTTTGGAGGAGAAAGAATGCTTTGATGCATCCAAAGAACACCATACCTACTGTGAAACATGGGGGTGAAAACATCATGCTTTGGGGCTGTTTTTCTGCAAAGGGACCAGGACGACTGATCCGTGTAAAGGAAAGAATGAATGGGGCCATGTATCGTGAGATTTTGAGTGACAACCTCCTTCCATTAGCAAGGGCATTGAAGATGAAACGTGGCTGGGTCTTTCAGCATGACAATGATCCCAAACACACCGCCCGGGCAACGAAGGAGTGGCTTCGTAAGAAGCATTTCAAGGTCCTGGAGTGGCCTAGCCAGTCTCCAGATCTCAACCCCATAGAAAATCTTTGGAGGGAGTTGAAAGTCCGTGTTGCCCAGCGACAGCCCCAAAACATCACTGCTTTAGAGGAGATCTGCATGGAGGAATGGGCCAAAATACCAGCAACAGTGTGTGAAAACCTTGTGAAGACTTACAGAAAACGTTTGACCTCTGTCATTGCCAACAAAGTGTATATAACAAAGTATTGAGATGAACTTTTGTTATTGACCAAATACTTATTTTCCACCATAATTTGCAAATACATTCTTTAAAAATCAGACAATGTGATTTTCTGGATTCTTCTCATTCTGTCTCTCATAGTTGAAGTGTACCTAGGATGAAAATTACAGGCCTCTCTCATCTTTTTAAGTGGGAGAACTTGCACAATTGGTGGCTGACTAAATACTTTTTTGCCCCACTGTATACTGTAGCTCTCATCCATTTGACCTGCTGGTCCAATCTGCCCAATAGGAAATGAGAGTTTCCATTCCAGAGGTAATTCAGGCTGTACCATTTTGCATAGAGAATAGAGGGGGGTTTTCTTTATTTAAGGGAGTGATCTTTTAAATACCCTAAACAAGCAATATTCCTGATATATGAGGACCATTATTGTAATAAATAGAGTTTTTTAAACATGTGTGCCTTATTTGAATATCTCTATAGATTAAAAGGGAAGCTCATTGTTTAAGTTGAACAAAAAAACAACCTGGACAGCTTGTTGTTGATTTGCAATATAAAATAAAACAAACACTGGCTAAATTATTTTCTCCGGCCTCAATGTATTCTCCTTCCACCACTTGGTCAATCCTTACTGTTGTACGAGAATAGACCAATGGACAATACATTTTAATTTCAAAATGCTTCAAATACATTCAGCCATTATTTATTCTAAATACAGTGGAAGTAATCTGTTGGTCAATGAACTACAAAGAGCATTTTTATTTAAATATAATGAGAAATCATGGTTAATTGTCAAGCCATTTTGCTCACAAAATGTTATCCTCAACACAGGCAGGAAAAAAATTGACAAACTAAAAGTCTATTTTTCCCTTATACCTTCAGGTGTTCTCTTAAAATAACGTCGGACTTTAGCTGCCTAGTCATCAGCTCTGCAGCTCCCAGGTCACATGATGGGGGCGTAAGGCAGCTTTGCAGGGTCATGAGGTTACCTGTCCCCATGTTGATGGGAGAGAAGTTAATGGGGGTTTTTAGCCTCCTGGTCCCGCACGGCTCTCTGGTTTTATTAGAGTGGGGACTCGCTACTTGGGCGACCCCCAACACCAGCCAACATCGACCTCCAAGAATCAAATTACCTGTCTGGGAAAAAGGGCTCTCAAATCACTTTGCTTACAATGCAGCATCAGACCCCCCACAAGCTGCAGGGTTTGCCTTTGTGTATGCTTTATTTTAGGGCTGTTATAAAAAACATTTAGCTTGTAGTGTGGTTAACGAATCGTTACAAATAATAATATAATATAAATATATATACACAACTATTACTTTTGACCCGATAGTGTCTCCTGGTATGAGGCAAGCATTATAATCAACATGTTTTCACAGGGACAACCAAATGATGCAAGTGGAAGGTAAGGACTGAAATGAATGGAGCTTTTAATTATCGACACATTCACAGCACTATTATTTTTAAAAAGTGAACTGACTACATCACACACACATATGCAAATAGGCACATATAGCCACACACCACATCCCCATTCTGGTCAGAGAGAAGAGATTCCAATTGTAGTTAATGGCTGTAAAATCACTACTTTATAGGCAAACACAGCACTGAGAGTTGCGATAGGGCTGCTGGTTAATTTACCTACACGCTTTGCCTGATAAGCTTTGTGCATTTAAAAACGCTGTTTTGCACTTAGCTTAATATTACCTCTTGATGAGAGTAGTAATCAAAGCCTAATGTTTGCTTTCACATACTCGTTATCCTTTTTAATAACATGTTCTAATTCAATCATCCAAAGACGACAGGATTTAATCTGCTCTTCCCTCAAGGTGTAATTGTCGCATCACAGTCAAACAAATTGATTTTGATTAGATGTGATATTGCCCATCATGCATCAGGCTATAACCAATTAAATGTGTTGGGCATACAGAAAACTGCAGTAAATTAAGGTAAAATAAGGTCATTCACATTGATATATGTCTCTTGTAATGGTAAAATCAATTTGTTAAATCATAAACATATTTTAAATAACAGTAATTTTGCACAGAAGGTGTGTCCCTCAACATGCGTTCAACCCTGTTACCCAAACCTTTTTAGATTGGCACAGGAAGTGAACAAACTGTAAGTCAGATGACATCAGCAAGCCATGTGCTAGTGCCATGGGTAGAACACAACTAAGTCCTCTCTTTTATTTTTCATATTTTTACAATCTTTTCAGTCTTAAAAGAGTGTGGCACTCTGACCCACTCAACACTGTTACTGATATTATCAGAATAAAGCATATTAATTTCAAAGTTATCTTTCTTGCATTAG